CACTTTTCTTAACTTTGAATATTTATTAGAACGTTCATACGAGCTTATATAAAATAAAAGTTACATTTGACGAATTTATCTTGTTCGATCGTTACAGGGAAAATCCGAATATATTGGACGAGCAATCGCAAGACCCCACGTTAAACTTTCGTCAGAAAATTATTTACCACCAAATTATCCCCCGTCCTTGGAATGGTACGAGATTACCAGAGGTGCTGCAAGAGCCGGAGAACTCTTAGCCGTATTCGAATTACTTGAACATCCTACAACGTCAGATCTTGGATTTCCAACATTGCCAGATCCAAAGGACAAGTTTCAACAATTAATTGCATCTGGTCCTGATCAAGGTCCCATTCTTCCAGTTCCAATTGGTATACGTCCTACTTTAGCAAAATATAGGTAATATTAGAAAATTAAATACGTCGAAATCTTTCACGTAATTTTTACATTTTAATTTTTACATTTTATTTCCTTGCGACATATTCGATTCAATAATTTTTCGAATTATCGAAGTCATTTTTATTCGATCAATTAAATAATTCGATTAAAAAAAAATAACCAAAGTATATAATACATAAGGTGAATATAATAAATCATATATATATAATATGTAATATAATATATAAAATAAATGAAATAGAATGTAAATACTGAAAAAAAAAAGAAAAAAAGAAAGAAAGGGGAAAGAAAAGAAAATCAAATCAAAGTAAGAAATGAAGAAAATAATTTTTTATCGTCCTTTTTTTTTTTTTTTTTTTTTTTAATCATCATCGTTTATTTTAAATATTCCTTTGATGTTTTATCGTTACAGGATAGAGGTACTCTTCTGGGGATTACGCGATCTAAAGAGAATTCATTTATTAACAGTTGACAAGCCACGCGTGGACGTTGAATGTGCCGGTCATATTTTATACTCCTCAGTTATAGCAAATGCAAAAAAAAATCCGAACTTTAATACGCCCATTAAGTTTTTAGAATTAGAATTGCCGGAGCAAGAACTCTATCGGCCGCCATTAACGATAAGAGCAGTAGATTGTAGAAGTTTTGGAAGGTACACACTCGTAGGCACTCATACGATTAATTCGATTCACAAATATACTTATTCGCCTCAAACAAAAAGAGCCAGAGACATCGAAGAGAGAAAAAAGAGTCTTTATCAGTTACAATGTATAGGTAAGAAAATTAATTAATCTTATTGTTGGATATGCGAATTTTTCTTTCTTTTTTTTTTTTTTTTTTAGATTAAATTTCTCTTAATCATTATCTTCGTTTAGGTCTCGAACAAGGAAAACCAAAGTATCAACAAACGAATATTCAAGAATCATTTACTCAATCCGATCTTGGTTCAAATAATAGTGACACTATTATAACATTGGGATTTGAACAAAGCGCTTGGCCAACGAAGAGAGATAAAACCGAACAAAATTTACGAAAAAAACAGAGCCCAATGAACGATGTTGGACTAAGTAAGTCGATAAAAATTTCTATAATTTCTAACTAATGATATTAGATAATAATACGATTTTAGGCGATATTGGAATATTGGACAATGGAGAGGGTTGTCAGGATTGGTGGACGAAATATTTCGCTTCGGTCGAGGCAATGATCGAGGAAAATAAAGAATTGAGAAGAGAGAAATCTATATTTCAAGCCCAACAGAATGGAACTTTGCCAGCTTTTTTGGAGGATGCATTTGATCAAGGTCAAGCTACAACGACCACCAGTGAGAAAAATCCTGGTGTCATTTATCCAACAAGGAAATTATTTGGTCTAAAGTCACCGTCGAATACTTCGAAATTCGTTTCAAAATTAAGTCCAAAACACGTGCCAAGAAAGACATCTCAAAAAACAGCTCTACTTAAGATCTATCCAAACGAATTAGAAGCTCAACCGGAATTCGAACAGTTCAAGGAATGGTTGCACACGTTCGAACTCTATCGAGGAAAAAAAACGGGCGATGAAACCGAGGATGAGCATAGAATCGTTGGTTATTTCAAAGGAGCTTTGAAGGTTTACAAATGGCCACTTCCAAAGGATCTAATAGATCATACCGTAATGGGATTTGATCCTCAGTACGGTTTCTTTCAAGGTGTACCCTCAAACGAACCAATTCATGTTCTTGTTAGAGTTTACATCGTCAAAGCCAATGATCTTCATCCGTGTGATCTTAATGGGAAAGCTGATCCTTACGTTGTTCTCCAATTGGGTAATAAAAGGATAAGCGATAAGGAAAATTATGTATCGAAACAACTCAATCCCGTCTTTGGGAAGTAAGTATCGTTATATAGATTGTTTTCTCTTTCTTTTCTTTTCTTTTCTTTTCTTTTACTAGATTAAAACGAAATCAGAAATATTTGTATAATCACATTTATACATTATTGATGATTCAAGGTGTTTCGAGATAGAAGCCACTTTTCCTCAGGATTCTTTGTTAACGGTACAAGTTTTGGATTGGGATTTAGTTGGTACCGATGATATGATCGGCGAGACTAAAATCGATTTGGAAAATCGATTTTATAGTAGGCATCGTGCAACTTGTGGTTTTCCCAGACGTTACGACGAGTGAGTAAGATTAATTGATAATTCGATTGGTCGTGATTTAATCGATTTACCAAAGAAAAAAAAAACAAAGAAAAAAGAAAAAGAAAAAAAAATAACAACTTAATTTAATTTCGATCGAACGTTTTATAGATCAGGATACAACAAGTGGAGGGATGCAATGAAACCAACACAAATTTTGTCGAAATTGTGTAAAGAGGGTAAAATTGATAGTCCGGTTTATTCTCATGGACGCGTTACAATTGGACGAAAAACATTTTCATTGTCGAACGAGGAAATGGAATTTTACGTTCATTCAAAGGGTAAAAGAAAAATTTGTCGTTGTGATAAAAATGAATTTAATCCCTTCGAACGTATTTTTCAATTTTTTTTCTTTTCTTTTTTTTTTTTTTTAGGTATAGAAGAACACCTTGCCCTTGCTGTATTACATCAATGGAATGCTTTTCCTCGTATCGGTTCTACATTGGTACCTGAGCACGTCGAAACTCGGCCACTTTATAATCCCGAAAAGCCTGGCATAGAACAAGGAAAATTAGAAATGTGGGTGGACATGTTCCCAATGGATATGCCTTCGCCAGGTTCACCAATTGATATATCACCTAGAAAACCAAAGAGTTACGAGTTACGAGTTATTATTTGGAACACTGACGACGTCGTACTCGAAGACGATGCTTTTTTCACCGGTGAAAAGATGAGCGATATTTACGTAAAGGGGTAAATATAATGGAAACATTTAATATTTACATGGACGATTGAAATTTTGATTTTTAAATATTTTTTCATTGTTTGTTCGCCTCATTTTTTTTCTTTTTTTTCTTTTTTTTTTTTTTTTTTAAACAATAGTTGGCTAAAAGGTCCAGAGGATTGTCAATCAACTGATATTCATTATCGATCATTGACCGGCGAGGGTAATTTCAATTGGAGATTCATATTTCCATTTGATTATCTTGTAGCCGAAGAGAAGATTGTTATCAATCGTAAAGAGAGTTTATTTAGTTGGGACGAGACCGAGTGTAAAATACCAGCGCGATTGGAGTTACAAGTAACATATAACGTTTTGTTAATAATATTCTTTACTGTTTTTTTTTTTTTTTTTTTTTTCCTTATCGAAATGTGGATAATATTAAAGAAATTTCTATTTTTTGTTTCTTTTCTTTTCTTTCTTTTTTTTTCTTCTTCTTCTTCAAAGGTATGGGATGCCGATCATTTTTCGGCGGACGATTTCTTAGGTGCAATTACTCTCGATCTTAATAGATTTCCACGTGGTGCAAAGAATAGTAAACTTTGTACGCTTGGTATGTTGAAAACCGATGGTTCCGTGCCTATGGTTAATATCTTTAAACAGAAACGAGTTAAAGGTTGGTGGCCGTTTTATGTTAAAAAGGAAAACGAAGATATGGAACTTACGGTAAGATCACACAAATTCAATTGAAGAAGTTAAAAAAAAAAAAAAAAAAAGGAAAAAAAAGTTATTTTAATTAATTGAATAAATTATCGAAATGAATTTAATTCTGAATTATTTTATTTATCGTAGGGTAAGGTAGAAGCCGAAATACATTTATTGACGAAGGAGGAAGCAGAAAAGAATCCCGCTGGTTTTGGTCGAAACGAACCCGATCCTTTGGATAAACCAAAGTGAGTTTTATTACACCTTTAAAATAATATCTTACGAAATTATTTTACGATTATATTACGATTTTTATTCACATTATTTTTTTCTTTTTTTTTTTCTTTTTCCTATAGCCGACCAGACGCCTCGTTTATGTGGTTCCTGAATCCATTAAAATCTATCAAATATATCGTTTGGCATAATTATAAATGGGCTATTTTGAAAGCTATAATAATGATAGGTATAATTGTACTAATACTACTATTTTTCTATGCTATTCCTGGATATTCTGTGAAGAAGATTTTAGGAGCTTAAGAAATGATCATAATCGAAAGAATGTACAAATGATATACAGTCACGGTGACGATTGTTGTTGTCTGGAGAGAGAGAGAGAGAGAGAGAGAGAGAAAAATACATTTAGAATATTTTTTTATTTGTCATAGTATATATTATAGAAGTATCTTGATAATCTGCGTTGCGAAGTACCTTATTTATAGATCGTCAAAAATATAAACATGAATATATACATATATTGATTATGTACAAGAAAAGTATATATATATATGTAAGACATTATGTACAAGATATTATAGAAATATTTTTCTGTAAAATTACATCCATAATTGTATCATTAGTTATCGTGCAAAAAAAGTAATTCTATTAGGCCTACATACGGAGTAGTGCATTATTATTATTATTATTATTATTATTATTATTATTATTATTATTATTATCGTCTATCGTATTATGTGTAGAAAGATGCACTTGAATATTTTTATCGAAAAAACACAACAAATAAAAAAAAAAAAATTGAGATATCTTTCAGCATGGGTACTAATTATATATCATCTTTATTCGGATGTTTTGTGTTAGAGTGGACCAAAGATTAATAACAAAATGCGTTCACGATTTACAAGAAATATCAAATGTAAATATTCTAATCTAATTTAGACAGAATACTATTTGGAAGAACGTAATGATATAAACTAAAACAATTTGGTACAATAATTTCGTTCATGAAACATATCTGTGTATGTGTGTGTGTGTCGCGCGTGTGTCTGTAATATATATATGTGTGTGTGTGTGTGTGTGTGTGTGTGTTTGTAATAAAAAAATTTCATTTATCCAAATGCTTACTCTAGGCATTGTTAGAAAAAATTCAATAAAATTAAAAATTACATGGGCGAAGGAATTATCGAATTCTAAATATTTTTTTTAATATAATATTCGTTTTTCAAGTTTTTACAATTCCGTATGCGACAATGCTTCAAATTTATTATTGACAACCGGTATAACTACCGATTCGCTCGATGAATCTTCCGATTCTTCTTCATCACTGATTCCGTCATCGCTTCTTTTTACATCCTCATCCTCCTTTTGCTCCTCCTCTTCCTCGTCTTCTGACGATGAATATACTTCTTTCATTGGACCAGCAACATCATCATCCTCCTCATGAATTTTAGCCTGAATCCATTTAACCGTCTCGACTTCAGGATGTTGTTCCCAATTTTCTAAATAACACATATATTCAAATGTTTTATATGAAACAATATTATATTGCTATATATAATGGTAAATAAAAAAAAAATAAATAATAATAATAATAATAATAATAATAATAATAATACCTTTATTTTCGAACCAATTTGGAGGATATACATAAATACAAATTCTTCCTTCTAATGACATTCTTAATAAAGAATTAGCTGCTCTATAAGTATCTGGTCTTGCCGCTTTAGCTGTATAGAAATTTCTTTTTACTGCCCAAGCATCGCATATATCCATGGCAGACCAATAATCATCCTTATTTTGATGTTGTATCCTTAATAATTTAGGTAAATCTATTCGTTCGGCTAAGAATTTTACACTAGTATATGGTTCTCTAACTTGTGCTATTGGAAATGAACCCATTAAAATTTGTAATTGTTTAGGTACAGTCGATGGGAATACTAAACCGGGACAATCACAAAGACAGACTGTTTTGGTAAGATAGATAGTTTGAAAATGTTTTGTATGTCCAGGAGTACGAGACACGCTTACAACTTTTTTACCTGTTATACAATGTAATAATATGTTTGAATGTTATAATTAGATGATGATAATAATAATAATAATAATAATAATAATAATAATAATAATAATACAATTATTCATAACTTATGTATTACTTACCCATTAATGCATTCATTAAAGATGATTTTCCAACATTTGGCGTACCAATGCAACCTATAGTCAATACACCATTTTTATATTTTACATGCTCAACATATGTATCATCTTGTTTTTCAATGATAATATTATTCTTTCTGTCTATATCGTCTAAATCATATTCTGCATTCATTTCCTCTTGAATTTTATCATGCCAAGAATTCAAATCTACTTCCTCTCCGACAATATCTTGACATGCCTCCAATAATTTTTGTGCTCCTTCCGCTGCCATTTTCAATTTTCCTTTTCTACGTTTTTTCTTTATCCCTTCACTTTGATTTGTATTCCCTCTTAAGTTGTAAGTTGGAAATGACGTGAACATTAATATGTGCAGTTTTGGATAATGAGTAGAGAAGTAATTTTTCCAAGCTACTACCAACGGAGGAGGTGCCAAATCAATTTTATTGAGAATTAAAATCATATCTTTGTTTAATTCCTTTGTTATATAGTTATATAAATATGGAGGAAACATTAAAACAGGAAATCTAATATCAACAATGATCAACAATATATCTGACATTTCTAAAACTCTCCACAATTGTCTCCAAGTTTCTAAATTTAATTCAAAATAACTAATATCCAATTTTTCCATAGTTTGTAGATATACCTAATTGTAAATAAAAATTAACAATTAATTAAACATTTAGATTTTGAATAAAAATGATATTTTATTATTAAATATAAATTGACTACTTACATTAAAATATTTTTGTTCTTTAATTTCCAATTGATCTTTCGACATATCATAAACCCAGAATGGTCTCTTAGGTATATCTAATTCTGATGGAAAATAATTATCAGAAATTTCTTGTTGTTTTAGAGGTATCATATTAATAGTATTTCTAGCTTCCATCTTGCGCCTTCGCAATTCTTCTTGCGATTCTTGAAAAAATTGAAGAGCATACTTATTTCTAAAATTTTGTGGTTGCTTGTTTATCTTTTGTATGCTTCTTTTAAACTCAATATCATCGGTTAAACTCAATTCGTCATCATAATCTGCATTTTGTACAACTAAAAAATAATTAATATATACTATTAAGAATTGAACTTATTATTAAAAAAATTATTATAACCAAAATATATCTAAAAGGTAAAAATACCTTTTAAAAGATGATTTTGTCGTTGTTTTTTCGCTTGCATTTGTTGTTTTTTCGCTTTACCGCTAAAAGCTACCTTCCTTCTTCCCTGCGGCATATTTCTTTCTGCTTTAATTGATTGACAAGAAATTTTTTTTTAATCACTCGTAAACACTTTCGATGAATATTATTTTATATAAAATAATATTTATTTGTTATAAAATAAAATGTGTTTTAACTGTTACACTATTAATAATAACAAATAGATAAATCGATATTTCACAAAAATAAATGTGGTTTATTCGTAGACACTCACTATGTAAAAAGAAACTTTTGCACATATAATAATAAACATTAAATTTATCACAGATACGTTACAATTCGATCAGACAATTAATTTCACCAGCTACAGCTGCAGTCTTTAAGAAGAATGAATGAGTTCTTCAGTTCGGGGAGGGTTTTATAGTCTCTTTCCGAGGTTGCCACATAAAATCTACAAGGTACGCCATCTATGAATATATTTGTTTTAGAGTTCCCCATAAAAAAAAAATTCCCTACCTTCGTAACCACATACGTCATAACTGTATAGACAATTTTTATTTGGTTTTTCTATTTTTTATTTTTTTTATTTAAACTTAAAGAAAACTTATAAATGTGATCAATTATTTCCTCTTAATCAAATATTTCAATTTATTTGATAATACGTCTAATTTTATAAATGGCGGGTGATCATAAAATGAAATAAATATACTTTTAACAAGACAATAATATTTTTAATATTTAAAGTAAGAGGTACATTTTTAATATTATTTATAGTTGATGTAATTTTTATTTGTTATTTTGAGATAATGATAATAAAAAAAAAAAAAATAACATAATGATAACAAGTTACTACTACGCTACGAGAACTTGTATATATTATATAAATTCCCCTCCCCTCCCAGAAACATTTAATATATAAATATAATGTAGAATTTCAACAAAGTAATTTTATATCGAATTAAATAAATTCGTATGATTAAAAAAAAAAAAAAAAGAAGAAAAATAAATACATTTATTAACGAAAATTTTTATTAATGATAAATAACCAACTAATAATATCATGCAAACGTTATAAATATCAAACGTAAAATCAGCAATCTAATTGGTTGATTACGTTTCATATTTAGAGCGTAATATATTCTATTTGACAATTAATTTGAAATACATATATATATATATATATATATATATATATATATATATATATATATATATATATATATATATATCATTATTATTCATTGTTATCTCGTCGAATGAAATTTTTGTTTTATGGAAAAAGAAAAGAAAATGGAAAAAAAAAAGAAAAAAGATTTATAATTTTTCCTAATTTTATTTATATTATCATTTAAATACATTCAATATATATTAAATAAATTCACAATTTTATTATCGTTGTTTATATATTAATATATAAATATATTATTCTATATATATATATATATAATTTGTATATATACGTATATATGTTTACTTGTTTGTATGTACTACATTCTAACACACATTTCTGTATACCTTGTAGATGAAATTTAAATAAAAGATAAACTTTGGACCATTAATCTATAGTATTAGAATTGTATAAGAGGAAAAATAATTCTTAACAACAATGTACCTATATAACGAGAAGAGAAAAAAAGTTTTACTTTCCAATGAGAGAAATTTATTATCACATATAGAAGACAAGTTTATTACATTGGTTCTATGTATAAAATATGACATTTTCTCTTTTATAAATTCTCATAGAAAAGAATCATTGGAAAAAATATTTATGAAAAAACCTTCATACCTGGATACATATAAACAAATATATTTTTATATTTTAAAGTGAAAACTTGATTGTTACAAAGAGAGAAAGCGTATAAAGAAATAAAAAAAAATAAATAAATAAATAAAAAAAAATGTGATGTAAAAATCTACGTCATAGTTACAAAAAATATAAGAGAGATAAATATTAAATTTAATGATATATATTTATATATTTATTATATCGTGTGATGATAAGAAATATTCTCAAGGAAAAAAAAAAAAGCTAAAAAAGTTAAGCATGTCTCATTAATTATTATTTATAAATATTTACTATTATTACATATAAAAAGATTATACGCAAAAGATTATGCATCATTGATCTGACGAGTGATTTTAATTCTCTCTCTCTCTCTCTCTCTCTCTCTCTCACTCTCTCTCTCTCCGTCCCCTCCCCTCCTTCCTCTCTCTCTCTATCTTCTGTCTCTCTTTTTCTTTCGCTTGCTTTTACTTTTGCATAACTGTTAATATATTTACTTATGAGTAAAATCTGCGTCAATCTTATTCGCGCATATAAGGTTAAAAAGTAATTATTAAATACGTGAGAAAAAGCAGATTTTATTGTCGTTATAAATTAAAGCTTTTTTATTATCGTTTTCATTTTAATCCATATCCACGATAGATTGTAATAGGAAGTAAAGGTGTATCTTTTAGAACGGCAATGTTGTTGGTATATGTTTGCGATCTCGATCCGTTTCGTGCTGTGACATAACATAACCTTAAAATTTTCCATATATATATTTTTGTTTATTTGAGATTCGCTGGTTCCAGTATTGGATTCGGCTTTTCTAAAAAATATGGAGTGGCAAAATTTCTTGGAGCCACTTAGTCGTAAGCTAAGGATCACGCATTTAAATACGCCAAATGAGATTAAGGCGAAAATGAAACGCGAAAATGAATTGATGAGTTATTTGTTGGCCGATCAAGAAGTAAGGTACGTTTAATAAAATTTCGTTTCGGCGTAACAATGGATTCATGACACAGCACTGGTGATGCGAGAGATACAAATTTCACTCTGTTGATGGATTATTGGTTATTATTATCTACGTATTTTTTCGTACGATTTCTTATTCGGTTCGTGATCCTTTTCTTTGTTTAGTTTAGTTTAAACATTTTATCCTTCATTAAAGATGAAATTCGTTTCTTCTTTTTTTTTTTTTTTTTTTTTTTTTTTTTTTTTTTTTTTTTTTTTCTCGTATTAATTTTAGGGAGTTCATATCCTTGTGGTTAGAGGAACGATACAAAAATAGAGATTCGAAATCGATCGAAAAGGCAAAGATATTCAAGGATGTTGGAAACAAAGATTTTCAAGCAAAAAATTATACTTCAAGCATTCAGTCTTATACAAAAGTTGCTTTGTATGCACCAGCAGATAGCGAGGTATTACCATTAGCTATCGCTAATAGATCTGCTGCTTTATATCATTTGGGTAAATATGAAGTAAGTAAAATATAAAATAATAATGATATAAGAATATATAACGTTAATATTATTAAATTCATATTAATATAATGTCCTTTAATATTATATTTTTACTCTTTCAAGGATTGTATCAAAAATATTGAATTGGCTATTAAGTTAGAATATCCGGAAAAGTTAAGACATAAATTGTATCTAAGAGCGGTACAATCATATTTAAAATTAGGTAAACCGACAAAGGCTAAAGAATCTCTTGTTCGTGTTCGTGAGATAATGACTAAATGCACCGATATACCAGATGTAAAAAAGGGTTGGTAATTATTATAACAGAAATAATAAACTTTTCTTTAATTCTTAGAATCCATTTCAAATGAAATTTTTCTATTCGTATTTATAGAGGATATAGAAAAACAAATTGCACATTTAGCATCTCTTGCATCATGCATGCATAATGACACAGAAGATACCGAAGACAATGATTCAACGCAATCTATACCTGAACTTGCATTTGGAGAAAATCCTGATTTTCCTTCTGCATCGACAGCCATAGATAAAAAATATTCATCAGAAAAGGGAAGATATGTTGTTGCAAATAGGGACATAAGAAAAGGTCAAATACTTTTTGTTGAAAAACCATTTGCTTTTGTACTTGTGGATTATGGTAGAATGAGTGGTTCTTGTGAAAATTGTTGTCGTCCTTATGGAGATGTCCCTGTTCCGTAAATATTACATTTCATCTATTAACAAAAGATATTTTATGTTGTACAAATGTACAGGTATATAATGTACAATTTTGTAGGTGTACAATGTGTTTGGATACGTTATATTGTAATATGAAATGTTGGAACGACGATTATACGTTTTATCATCGTTGGGAATGCCCAGGTAGTCAAATGGGACTTTGGCAACAAAATGGAATTGCACGTTTAGCTTTAAAGGTGTTTTTAATGTGTTCGACTACATCCGACAGAAACAGATTTAACGAAGTACAAAAGTTGATAACGAACTTTGACAAATTATCATTAAAAGATCTTATTGCTTATGGAATTGTGAGTATTATAATATTTGTGAATATATGGACGAGTATGGAATCCATTTCTTTTTTTTTTTTTTCTATATTGCAATTAATTTCTTTCTATTTTTTTTTTTTCAGACGGCGACAATGCTTACGCTTTATCTTTTGAAGTATTCTGATTTTTTTGAAGATAACGATCTTACAGAATGTTTGATATCCAAATTTTCCGACGAGACCTATAATTTCCCATGTGAAACTTCTGTCGAAAGCGATAGGCATTTGTACGTAGGCTCATTACTTCTGAGACACATTTTACAACTTGTTTCTAATGGTCATGCCATTACAAAATTAGATGTAATTGTATCCGATAAAGATAAAGTTTTAACAGAACGAGAAAATCGTGTTGCTAAAGCGATTTATCCTTCGGCGAGTATGATGAATCATTCTTGTGATCCAAATGTAATAAATAGGTAAAAATATTTTATTTGATATAATATAAACTTTCATAACAAATTACAAGTAATAACGTTTGTGAACCAAGTGATAATAAACGCATTTATCCTTTGTATTATGTTTTTTTTTTTTTTTTAGTTTCATGGACCAATATCTTATCGTTAAGGCTATAAAAGATATAGGAGCAGGAGAAGAAGTTTATACCTGTTATGGTAAATAAAATTTTCTTTCACCTAAATAACATACTTAACGTAAAAATGAGAAAAACTTTTTCATTAAATTTGTTTTGTTTCGTTATTTTTTTTTTTATTTTTTCTTTTTTTTTTTTTTTTATAGGTGCACATTTTAGACAAATACCGAGAGATTACAGGCAATTAGCTTTAAAAAGTCAATACTGTTTCACTTGCAAATGCGAACCTTGCACCATACCAGAACTTCAATACTTCATGGTAATAATATTTCTATTATAAACTATAGTTTAATATATATATATATATATATATATATATATATATATTACATAGTGCAATAAAACTTACATTTTATAGGAAAGATTCAATGCTATAAAGTGTCCAGAATGTAGCGGCGCTTTGTATACTGTTCATAATTATTTCATGCATTGCTTAGACTGTGGTGCAACGCCTACTTTAAATTATGATATTGAATTAAAACAAGCTCAAGATCTTTTCGAGGATGCACAAGTTTATATAGAAATGGAGAGGGAGGAAGAGGCATTGGATAAATTGAAACAATGTTTAAGTATAAGGAGAAGTGTATTGTATAAATATCATGAAGATATTACTGCTACATTAGATCTTATTGGGAAAGTATATGCTATTATGGGTTCGTATCAATATTTCTAGTATTTAAGATAATTATATTTTTATTGAATTAATTATATCGTAAATTTTATGATGATAGGTCGATGGTTAGATTCTATATCTTATTTGGAACATAGCATTGCCGCAGTCAGTGAAAGATTTGGTTCCTGTAGCATAGAACTTGCCAATGAATTGAATAAACTCACAGATATATGTATAAGATATCTTCAAGAAGAACCAAATACCGCAACAAAGTGGTATAAGTGAGTTTGATTAATTAAGAAAAAAAAAAAAGAAAAAAAATTACATTTAATGTTTAAATCAAAAAACTCGCACAAAAAATCCTTTTTATTTTACAGGAATATCTTGAAAAAGACACGACGTTACTTGTCACACGCGGAGGAAATTTTAAATTTCAATTATGGACCGTGGAATAATGCTTGTGGTGAAATAAGTGAAAAACAAAAAATTCTATCGGTATTGCTGAAAGATTTTAACATTTAGTTCGAATAATTTTATTAATGCACTGTGTCTAATACGCGAATGAATAAAAACTGGCATATTTACATATTGCAAAGTTTATATATATATATACATACATATATATATATATATAAATATATATATATATACATTATATATATAATATATATAAATATATATATATATATATACATTTCAAGATTCGTATATATAGGCTTTTTTTTATAGAAACATTTAGTAGTCAACATAGAGTAGAATTGTTTGTAGATTCAAAACTATCATTTTTGATTTACACTTTTCGACGCACCGTATACTTAACGAAAAAAAAAAGAAAAAAGAAAAGAAAAAAAAAAAAAGGAAAAATTATTGTTAAGTAAATCTCCTATCATTCTATGTTTAACTATTGGTATATAAGTTATTGTGTATAAGCTTATTAAAAAAGAAATGGAACATTTGAAAGGACTGAAAATATTGGAGATATATATATATATACATACATATATATGTATATATATACATATATATATATATATATATATATAACTTTTAACGAAGTTGAACTTATATATTGGAAGTGAAAAATAATATCATTTCGCTTTTCAATGCTTAAGCACTAACGGAAAGTATTATTTTAAACGACGAGACATAAACGAATGTACTTTTCTTCGCGATAACGCTTCGATTAATACGGTTTAATGATGTGATGATACATTTATTGATCGGAATAAAGAAAACCATGTAGAATACAAATCATGTATTAAACGATTTTCAAACGTAATCATGATAAAGTGTCTTCTCATTTGTATTTCTTATATTTATTATTAAAAATTATACCTGTCTTTTATTTCATATTATATATATATATATATATAGACATACATACACATACATTTATACGTACATATATATATATATATATATATATATATATTACATTTCAATTTTGTTGAAGTTTACTCAGTTGATCATGAAAATGTATAAGGAAAGGATTCATCCGGAGTATATTTTACTTGAGAACTTATGTTTATCATACGAACTGGATTATAATTCTCACGTTATACGACGGTACGTATACGTGCGTATAAAATTTGTAGTAACCTTTGGCCGACTTGTATTACTACGAACCGAATAGTAGATGAATATAATAATATATTATAAAATATTATTCATATTAATAATTCATATAAATAATTCATATAAATTTTCCCTTTCACATTTTCACATTTTCTTTAAATATATATATATATATATATATGTATATATATATATATGTATATATATATATATATATATTTTTGTTTTTTTATTTTTTTTTTTTATTTTTTTTTTTTCTATTTACAATAACAAATTTTCATTTTTTTCTTTCTTTCTCTTTTTCAAATTCAATCACTAGTAATAATATTCATTAATATCTTTCATCGATTAGAGGGAACGATTTTAATTTGTCGAGGAGGTAACGAATGCATATAGTACGGGACTATATTAAAAATACATTAACAAATGCATATTCTCCGGTCACGAGAGAGAGAGAGAGAGAGAAAGAGAGAGAGAGAGAGAGAGAGAGAGAGAGAGAGAGAGAGAGAGAAAGGTGGATCCATTTGCAAATGGACTCGTAACGCTCTGGAAATAAATTGAAAGAAATATATCCTTGGCTTATATCTATAAAAAATGATCCCGTCTTTTTCTTTTTCTTTCAGAATAAAAGAAACTATTATCCTTATTTCAGAAAACTTTGGGAATAGTTTCAAATGCTTTACATAAAATATATTCTTTTTTCTTTTCTATATATTTTGCATATATAAATACGAACCGCGTTATTGTGAAATTTTTGCTTTTTATTTTTTCTTTTTGCTCTTTCTCTCTCTCTCTCTCTCTCTCTTTCTCGCTGTCTCTATTTTTTTTTCTTTTTTTTTCACTATATCTTTCTCAAAATATATCGATCGAATCAATGTGGATACGTACACACACAAACACACACATACATATGTGTATATATATATATATATATTTATCTATGTATTTATATATGTATGTATACATGAGCACATAATAACGTGTAACTACGAAATAATACATTTTTGTATTATTCGAGTGCGAGCTCGATTCTCTCACGTCAGACTGTGCTAATTTACGGGCTCGTAATCCTGCCAGATTCATGAATTTATTGCCATCCGGCCCATAAATTCCATACCGAGCGATTATACGGACTTATCTTTTCCGGTGGATCCAGCGAAATTCAAGGCTGATAGAACTAACGGGAATTGAACTACGCATTCTCTCTCTCTCTCTCTCTCTCTCTTTTTCTCTTCTCGAAACAGTTATGTTAATCTTCGAGTTTCTTCTATGTTGGAATATTCATTAGAATGTTTGAAAGGTAAAAGGTATATGTGAGGAAAGAAAATGAATGTACTTTCTGGTCACTAAGGTGAGTTCGAATTTTTCGTATCGTATATGTTTCAACAATGTTAAGTGCGATCCATTCCAAGAACAGACCATATAGAGTTACGTTTGAAAAATAAATATTTTAAGGGGAGACTTTAAGAAAATACAAAAACATATTGAATCGTATCGTCTGAAAAGTTTGTCTGTTTTTCTTTTTTTTTTTTCTTTTTTTTTTTCATCTGGAACCTAAGGTATTCCGGAAAAACTAAGCGCATACAAAGAAGATCTACAAAAATAATAATTACCGCTGACTATGAGAGAGACACTTTCAGGTATCAATTTTTTTTATTATCGATTTTCTTTGAAACACATTCAACCAACTCTCAAAGCAAAATTTCTTCTATGACGATAAATGACCCCAAAGGCGAACGGACCTTTAAAAGCAATCATATGCGAATCAATTGTTAAATTTATGGCGATCGTAGCGATGTACATACTTTCTAATTGCTCGTTAGTATAAAAAAGTTTAATTATATATTATTTTATATGCTTTCTGTTTAAACAAAATTAATTCTATATTTAACATAGTATCATATTACTGTTATAATAATATAAATTTATTATAATAAATACATTGTTCTGTATATAATTAATTTCTTTATTTTATGAACAATTAAAGTAATATTATAAAAATACATAATAATGTATTGTTAATGTAATTTCAAATATTTATAAAATATATTAAAGATAATTAAACTGTTATTAATAGTACATACAGTAATAACAAGAAGGATGAAAGTTGTATATTTATTTTTAGTTAACTGGCGAATTTTGAAAATTACATATTTAAGTATTATTATATTTATTACATTGACACAGAGAGGATGTGATTTAAAAAAAAAATTTATTTAAACTTATATACGATGTATAAATGTATTCTATTACTCGAAATATTTTTAATTATATTTTATTTTTAATTATATAGAGGACAAGGTATTTCTATTTTTGATTCACATATACACAGTCTGAATTATTATAATCATAAAGAAAAAAAATGCTACGTGAGAGTTATTCCATTAGTAATTGTTACTATTGGATATTTTAAATTTATAAGACATTGGAAGCTTTCTACGATTGTATACCTACTTTGAAGGTATCTGGGTTTTAAAAATTCTTACCTCACCGATTTAACTTTCTTTTCTGAAAGATTTTCAAAAAGAATGAAAAGATTTCATTCATTGGTTGATCAAAGAAGAACATTTCAAAAATTTCAACTCCGCCTTCTTTGCTCTTAGAGAAGGGAGTTAATGGTCGTCCGAGGTGAGTTAATAAATAATTTTCCCACCGGAGTTTAGTGTTATAAGAGTACTCTGTGGACTTTCATACTCATTCATAACTACGCTCATAATTACAATGTGAACCTACTGCTATTTGGGAATTTTACAGGCTAGAATTTACTAAACTTAGTAACAAAAATTCTGGTAGATGCGTGGAGTTCTTTTCTCTTAACTCGAATGTTAAAGGAAAAAAAGAATGTTGTGGAGGGGAGGATCCACTTCGTTTGAAAGCAAACAGAAGCGCTTCTTTTTTCTTCCAGCATTATTTTCTCCGTGTATCCGAAGTAGAAGAGAATCTTCTGGAGGGGATGATGATGATTGTATTATGATGACTTAGAGAATTTGTGTGCTGAATCTTCGTCAATAAACGTTCATTGATAATGATGAGCGCCGATATATTTTTTTTTACTTTCGTTTGGAGATTTTCTTTCTTCATACTTGAGAAAAAAATTTTCTTTTTTCATACTTGAGAAAAAAATTTTCTTTCTTCATACTTGAGAAAATATTCTTTCTTCATACGATTATTTTCTTTCTTCATACTTGGATTTGTTTTCTTTTCTTCATACTTGGGGGGTAATTTTTTTCTTTCTTCATACTTGAGAAAATTTTTCTTTCTTCATACTTGAGAAAATTTTCTTTCTTCAATACTTGAGAAAATATTCCTTTCTTCATACGATTATTTTCTTTCTTCATACTTGGATTTGTTTTCTTTTCTTCATACTTGGGGGGTAATTTTTTTCTTTCTTCATACTTGAGAAAATTTTCTTTCTTCAAATACTTGAGAAAATATTCTTTCTTCATACGATTATTTTCTTTCTTCATACTTGGATTTTTTTCTTTTCTTCATACTTGGGGGGTGGGTAATTTTTTTCTTTCTTCATACTTGAGAAAATTTTCTTTCTTCAATACTTGAGAAAATATTCTTTCTTCATACTTGGATTTTTTTTCTTTCTTCATACTTGGGGGGGGTGTGGTAGTAATTTTTTCTTTCTTCATACTTCAATTTTCTTTCTTCATACTTGAGAGAAAATTTTCTTTCTTCATACGATTTTTTCTTTCTTCAATATATTCGCGGATTTTTTTTTCTTTCTTCAATATATACTTGGGGGGGTGTATAATTTTTTTTCTTTCTTCATACTTGAGAAAATTTTCTTTCTTCATAATAACTTCTCACAGCATTTTTTTTCTCTTTCTTCATACTTGGGGGGGTGCGATGATAATAATGATGTGATTTTTTCTTTCTTCATACTTCTTAGATGTGTTAAATATATATATATCTTCAATCTTAATTACGTTGAAAAAGTTGTCTTCTTCGTTTTCTTGTATACGGAGATTAAGGGCTGGGGGTGTGTGTAGTGTAGCGTAGATGGGGAGAGATGGATGACACCATAAAATCCCTTTTTTCTTTTTTGTTGTTTTTTTCTCTCTTCTAAATGTTTTCTAATGAAGAAATTCCGTGAAAATTGTAGAAAACTTCGAGAGATGATTTTTTCTTTTTTTTTCTTGCTGGGCCAGGGATTTGATCCTAAGCTTTTTTCTTTCTTCTTCCGGGTTTTCGGTCTTCTGCCTATACCAGCTCGGCTATCCAGGCTCCCGAGATATACTAGTCATAAATGTATATTTAAACTACGTTTCAATAAACGCATATATACATGAATATATTGTACCATAAATACAGACCAATGTGTATATATGTTTATGTATGCATGTGTACGTGGTGATATATGAGTGTTATAGATATCCATTGTTGCTATATATGTATGTATGCATATTCTACATACATATATATATATACTTATATATATATCTATATATACTTATTATATATATACTTATATATATATATCTATATATACTTATATATGTATATATACGTATATATATATTTATATATACTTATATATATATACTTATATATATATCTATATATACTTATATATATACTTATATATATATATATACTCTATATATACTTATATATATATTTATATATACTTATATATATATATACTTATATATATATACTTATATATATATATATATATATATTTAATATATA